TACAGTCTTCTTGTAATTCCTTACAGTCTTCTTGTACTTCCTTACAGACTTATTGTACTTCCTTACAGTCTTGTGCCAAAGGTGCCAAAGGTTGAATAAAAAAAAGCAAAAAGTTCTGAATTGCCAATGTCTCCAGATTTGTATGCAAGCAGTACTACTGGTACTACAGTGAGCTTTTTCTGTGTACCTAAGAAAGTACTTCCTCAGGAACATATCAAAGATAACTAAGATTAAGATTACAATTTTGGGTTCCCGAGCTATCCAGTAGATTTCCATCAGAGCAGTACTACAGTGAGCTTTTTCATCGTACCAATGGTCATATAACAAGTGCATGTTTAAATTAGCCCTGGATGCTACAGATACTAATATATTATTTAAAACCTCATGATGGTAGGGCAGGGGACAAGGAATAATAGCAAACACAATCTTTCTTTCTAAGCCAGCGAAACGACGGAAGCTGTCTAGAACGGTGCACTCCTCAGGCCCTTCACCCATTTGTCTTGGTAATATTTTTGATTTCCTCAATGCTTCTCTCAGTATTTCACTGTACATCATTACTACGTCAGAGTTGTAGCACAGAATAGCTATATCTTTCTCAGAGTAACCACTTCTAAGATAATGATGACAATGCTTTGCCACATACTCCACTATTTCATAGCATTTTTTGTTACGTACTATTTCAAAGTTGCCTTGGACACCATGAGCACATGTGGCTGTACGTACCAACCTCCGTAAACGTGCTTGCAGATTACCGATGGCAGGATTCTCTACAATCTCTTCCATTATGTCCTTTAGCTTGTAATAGATACTGCTAGCATTACGAACCACCTTGTTTAGCATCTCCACAGGATCATGCTGTTTTGGTGGTGGAAGACCAGTGGAGAAGCAGTGAGTTGTCTGCAAGTAGTCCAAGAAAATCCACAGAAATCCAGGCTCAGAGTGCTCTGGTGAAGTCAAAGCCAATGCCTTTCCATACCAATCACCATCCTCATCTCGGAAATTCTGTGCTTCATCAATTATTATGTGCTTCACGTAACTATAATCGTTCTTCAAAAAGGTTACTCTTGTCACAGCTTGGCAGATGTTCTTCTTTCTACAGAAGAAATGCAAGTGGATTTAAAACAGTCTCTGTGCATGGTAAACTACAAGTTATACTCGATCAGAACAAAATAATGCCCGTGGTATTTTAATCACATTTATCAGTAGATATTAGGGATGTCAAGAGAAAAAAAATGAACCTTACTAAAAATACATTCCAAACACACATTTTGAAAACTGCAATGGTGATGGACACCTGGCACACCAAATCTAACCAGTGCTCAGCTATTTCAAAAAGTGTTGGTCAAAGAACATATTGAAAAAATAACAGGAGTAAAGACTTACCTCACAAAATCTTTCAGAGGTTTGTTCTCACAAATGTAAAGAACCTCCTGTTGTTTGCATTTAAACATATTTCTTATTTTCTCTATGAGTTTGAGGGCCACAATAGTTTTTCCTGTTCCTGGTAGACCATAAACATACAGCTTCTTAGTTTTGTGGAGATTTTCTGACAGTAGCTGGAATTGTTCAATGGTCAAGAGGTTCAAAATCTCAAAGCCAACAGAGTCACTCAAGAAAGATTTGAAATTCAGCAAAACTATGATGAGAGAATGCAAGAGGTTTTTCAAGCTGACGCTGTCGATTGAGGTGTAGTTTTCAGGATACAGTTTTTGAACATTCAGATCCCATTCTTCTCTATAGTTAGAGCTGGGAGGCAAAGTCAGTAGCTTTGGTATTACACAAAATTTGTGAGTATAACCTCCAGTGTTGACTAATTTCTCCTTCAGCCTCCAGGCTGTGCGTCGTGAGTAGTGAAATAAACCCTCAGAGAGATGTTTACCTACTGTATAGAGGATAGGTGGCCTGCCGTTGGCTACGAGGAGAGCGTCACAGATTATGTCTTGGTTTTCTGACAGGCCAACCTCAACAGCCCAGCTTCTGGAAAATATCACAACTCTTTCAGAAACATCCTTCAACTGTTCATCCATTAAACTCTTCAGCCCCGGGTGCTCTTGGAAGAGATCTTTACTGAGTTTTTCTGGAGTATGTATTAGGCTGTGGGATTTCACTATCAATGCAGAGCACAAGAAATAGTTGGTGTTAATATAAAGTATAAAAATCCAGCCCTCTAAAATGACGCTGAGAAGATTCATACTGGTCGAAGACCACAAATACTGATCCTAGCTGCCTGAAAGCCCTTTTCATGTGTTTCTAGATTTATGGTTTTTTTTTAATGCTGAGTTATCTGATGATGCAGTATTTACATTTCCTACCCAGGTCACAGTTCTTTTACTAAAGATGCCAGCACAGGGCCACCTTATTCCTGCCATGCTTAGGTAAACCAGCCTAGCAGACAAATTAACAAACAGCTCAATAGAAAAGCCCCTGGACACTTGGCTGATCTTGCAGTGCCACAGAAATTCTGCTCTCTTCCAGGCCCTGTCTTTTTACATATTTTGGGCTGATTCCAAGTAACTTACCCTACTATCTTTCCCACTTCTCAGTAGACTGTGAAAAATTGGCACAGCCATGCTCTGTCCCCAGAGATGTTCAGCTAGCAGAGCTCCATCATATACACATGTTAATATCTGGGAGATATCAGTCCTTGGGGAAGGGGCACCAACCTTTGGACGCAGTGTTGCCATCAGATCTGCAAACCATTTCCATCTCCCTCACCTGTTTAAATACTTTCTTCAAACTCCTTGATCACATCCTTGGGATTCATCTTTAGACCTATCAGTCAGTGAAAGCAATGCGTATACCTACCTGGAAACAGTTGCTCACAGAGATCATCCAGGCTGTTAAGGCCCCGGTGTGAGTAAACTGACTTGGCACAGGGTGGCCCCCCTGTCACACTGAGCTCCAGCTTAAAGTTCTCAGAAAGTTGTGATAGATCTGGAAAAGAGAAATGAAAACATACTATAGCATGAGCTGTTGCTGCCCCTTAGTGCAAGGTGTACAAACCATCCTCATGCTGGTTTTAAACCTTTTATTCTTATTTAAAATAACAAATGTGATAAATAAAGAGAAGGAGTGGACAACAGCTGATTAGCAGTGAATAGACTCCAGTTACGGATCATAGAGTTATTCTTGGTCTTCTTATCTCTAACTACTGTTGTGATCTCTAGCTCTATTAGTGATATTCCTTTCATTGCCCAAGAACTGGCCAATGAACAATCTCTGTCTACACCTTTCTGCCTGCCAAGCTGGTAGCCACACTGGAGAAAGACCCTAAAAGGCAGGAGGACCAAGACAGTTTGGACCGAATCCAACCTACAGAAAACCAAAGGAAATACCAAAATCAGGAGTGGATTACTCTGAGTCTTATGGACCTGGATCAGCAGAGGTCATCCACGCAGCCCATTCATTTCCTTTCAGTCTCCTGATAGTGCCTCCGTCGAACAGCCATGACTGCGGATCTTCTGCAAACACTACACAAGTAAATGGTTCAACCTTCACAGCACAGACATAGCCATAGTGCTCTACAGCCTCATTATACACTTCGAAGATTTTGTATTCACACCTTATCTGATGTTCACATCCACTTTTGCAGAAATGGAAGGTGGTTAATTTTTCCTGATAAACATAATCAATTAGGTTTCTTAATTTTTTGAGGCCCTCATCATCACTTTTGAATCCCTGTACGACCCTGTTATCATCCACACCAATCCACAAATACCCGCCATGTGCATTTGCAAATCCAGAGATGTACTGAGGTAATATCTCTTTAACACGAGTGAAAAACTTTTCAGTGGAAAAATGCTTAAATTCTATGTTCCCTGACTCTGTGAAATTCAATGTCTCTCCACACTGCAGTTGGTCCCTATTAAACAATTCAGCAACAGTGTTATTTACAATATGCATGTCTTCATCAGCAGCTCCTGTGCTATATTCTGCCCTAGCTTTATTTTGCTTATCTTCAAGGAAAAGCAAAGCTTCAGCAGGGATCACGTGGGAAAGAGAAGCACCATTTCTTGTGTACAACCCAGTACTGAGGCTACAGATACGTGGCTTTGCAGAGCTAGAGATTGAGGATATCTTTTCGCTGTTCCATGTTTTAATAAAAATCAAAAGGTTGTTATCCTGCTGTTTAAAGTCCAGGTATTTTGTCGAATCCGGAAATAAAAGAAGAGAACGAAAAATGTCTTGTAAATCCAGCCCAATATCATCTCTCTGTAAGTCGTAGTTTTCATTTTCTATCTCTGCTTTTACCACACCTCCTCCACAGTTTAGCAAGGCACACACTGCAGAGGCAAGGATGTGTTTCTGATCTTGTTTCGAATTTTTCGGCATCTTTTTTCTTGCTTTCTCACCGAAGGTTATTTTTCCAACACACAAAACTAGTTCAGGGTACTGTGTTGCTTCATCAACCCACACCAGCGGCTGCGGCTGCAGCTGATGGTCCTCAAGAGCCATTTTGGGCCTGGAACAATTGTTAAAAAAAACTGCTTACCATTTATGTCAAAACATCGCACTTCCAGATGCTCCCCCCAAAAAAACATTACCTTAGCAGCAGCTACTCTCCAAACAGCAAATACAGAGATGAGAGATTAAACGAATTGTAATAATTTGTTCCCCCAAATGGGTCCCAACCTTTGGTTTCTGGGAGTTTTTGTGCTTCCTCCACGCCACCTCCCCTATTCTGAGTACAGCAGCCTGCAACAGCCCAGAGCAGCAGCACCCACTGCACAGCACTTACCTACCGCTTCCAAAACAGAGAGCGTGCCTGAAATCCACAGACCACCATCTCTCTCTTCCCTTACATCCAGTCTCAGCCTCCTCTCTGTTATCTGGAAGCCATTTCCCCTTGTCCCATCACACAGACTCTAAGAGCCCATCTCCTTTCTCACAGCCCCTTTAGATACTGGAAGAAATCACAAGCGAGCAACTGTTAGTTTAACTATTGTATCAAATCATGGTCAGACTTTTCCTTTAAAAGCACTTTCTGTTGAGCTGATGGGATGATTTGTATTTTTAGCTGTTGTTAGTTCCCTGTTTTTATTCACAGGAATACAGAAGCTCATCGCTCCCATTTCGAACGAAAAAGCCACTATGCCTCACAAGCTGGGCCCGCTCCTCAACCACGCAAGGCGGGAAAAGCTCGCACCAGCGCCTCGCCTTCCTATTGGCGAGCTCCTGAGTCAGTAGAACCGCGTGTTGCCATTGGATGGAGCCGGGGAGGGGGCGGGACGAAGTGGTGAGTTCTTGGCCGCGTCGCGTCTCGGTGAGCGGGGCGCTGAGGGGAGCAGGCCGGACTCTGAGGAGCGGGGGAAGGGCGGGCGGGCTGCAGAGGGGCGCGAGGCGTCGGTAGGCGATTGGGGACTCAGGGGATGGGACCAGGGCCTGGCTGGCAGGGATGAGTGCGTGGAGGAGATGGGTGGCTTGAGGAGGGGGTCGGGTTAAGATAGGCCTGGGGGCCCTTGGAGGGCTGCTGCCGGGTTCTGTGGCAGGGTTTTCCTCTGCCTGGTGCTGGGCCTTCCTGGCACCTCAGCTTATGGTTACTGTATCTTACATGCAAAGCGTGCTTTAGCCTCTTAGCTGTAACAGCAAGCACTGCTAAGGAGACAGAAAATGCTGCTCCTGTGGATGAGTAACACATAAGCCAGCTCCTTCTACCTGTTGCACTCCTGTGTGCGAGGTGGAGTTTTAAGTTTGAAACCAAGGGAGCAGCAGTAAAAGGCGCAGCAATAAAAGGGGTCTTTGTGTGCAGCAGGAGATACATGCTGGTTGAGCAGCAGTGTTCAGGAAGAAGAAATGGAGAGCTTTTCCTTCTCCATTTCTCATTCGGCTTTGTCACACATGCAGCTGAACGCACAATCTCTATGAAGCAGTGAAAGCCAGCACACTGATGGCACCAGGTACCACCTCTACAGCACTGCTCTGTCAGGGAGTTGAGTATAAATAACTTTGGGTTATTTATTTATTAAATAACAGTTATTTATTTGCGTTGAGTATAAGCAGGTAGACCTACAGTTATATACAGAAGGAAAAGTCAACTCACCCAGCTAGTGGAGGGGCTCTCTGGCTGTGCAGCACTCCTTCTCAAACAGCAGTCAAAGTCCAAAGGATATTCTCCTTTCTCTAGCTAGCTCCAATATGTGCTACTTCTGGGTCCACCCTTCCATTTATGGGGGGAGCACATACGTGGGGAGATGTAATTTGTGCTTCCTGTGTCAGCCACAACCCCTTCCTTAGGTCTTCAGTCCAGCCTTGGACTGACATGGTGGTGTTTTGTTTTTGTTTGTTTTTCTTTCTTTCTTCTTTTCTAGAAGCAAACAAGCATCTGGAACTAGAACTTTTTCTGTGCTATTTTCTGATCTGGGAGCAGATTTCTCGTTGAATGGAAACAGATTTGCTCAAAGCAATGATGAGTGAAGTATTCTCTGAACTGGTATTGCTGAGACTTTTAGTCTTTGCTCTGACCAGGGCATGATCACGTAATCTTCTCTCTGAGCTTATTTAGGCTAAACTCTTCTAGAGCAAACAACTTTGCTGCTGCTTGAAATCCAAAAAAATAGGAAAAAAAATCATAGGTTTTTTTTTTTTTAGCAGTAGAAAAAATACTGATTTGAAAACTGGGTTGTGCAAATAGCTGTTTGGGTTTGTGTATCTTGCTGCAATATCATTTAGTACAGAGCTTGCAGTGAGAGAGGTTTCTTGGCTTTTCTCCTACGTGTGGCCTGGCTTTCGGACCTCCAGGTGCTACAGCCTCTGTATCCTCTGCACTTGTAAATGCAATGTAGACTCTGTAAAATGGAGTTTGACACTTTTTCTGGTAAAGCACTCATCAGCAGTTGTTATCATCTAGTGATTGTTAGCACTAATGCAGCGAAACAGCATTTCTAGTTGTGAGCTCTGTTGTCAGGAGTGGCTCTGGTGCTCTGCTCTCATGCTGTCTGTTGGGTGTGAGATGGAGAGGAGCAGGTGAAGAAGTCATTCAGCTGCTTCTCTTCTGGTAGGGCTGAGGATGCTGCAGGTATTATTGTTAATGCAGCTATTAGAGAAAGAATATGCCTAATGTAGGATTCCCCTGGGCTGTTCATTGGAGATGGTTTTTATTACGTGTTGATTTTCAGAAAGATAATTATAATGTTGATTATCAGAAAGATAATTGAAACCTGACAAAGTTTCAAATGACTTCTCTGATGTCATGAGACCCCTCTAAAAGATTACCTGGGTTCTTAGGTACCTATTGAGGTACCCAGAAAAAGTGACACTCAGAATGCCTGGTAGGTGCTGAGGGGGTTTTAATTTCTATTTTTGAAAACACTTTTTGTAACTTTTCACTGACGCCTGATTCAGTGGTTAGGAATTAGTGATGGGCTGTACTGGTCTGAATCCATGGGACTGCAGAGGGATGAAGTGCAGCCCTTTCAGGGAGGAGAAGAGGCTGAGCTAATCAAACAAGTACAAGAAAAGATATGGGGCCACTGTAATGCAGTTTTTTATTCTCTTCCAGGTTTTGGTGCCAGCTTTATGTTCGTTTCTCTCTGCTTGTGGAAAAGGAAGCTTCTATGGGGGATGTATCCAGGAGTACAGTTACAGTGATTCCCTTCTGAGGACAAATCACGTTGTTTCTGATGAGGAAGAATGGAAGGCAACTCAATTGTTAGTGCTTTTTTTTTTTCTTTCTTTGTCTGGATTTGCTCAGAACGTGGCTTAGCTTTGCTGGGTGTTCTAAAAAAGATTTGCAAAGTCAAATTCTGACAACGACGTGCTGTGCAACTCCAGTGTCGCTGCTAATGTTGATGTAATTGTATTAATAATACCATGCACTGAGGATACTTTGGTTGTGACCATAGACCTCAGTTAATATGTAAACTCCAAGGTTGGTTTAATAAAGCTGGTGGTCCTTTACAAATAGATTTCTCGTCTGTCGTTAGACCTTATGGCAATTACAACACAGTGGAAAAGCAGATAAATGTAATATTTATGTAATTCTCGTTAGTTTCACAGCTTTGTTTTAAAGCAAGAAACCTGAACAGATATTAATTTGTCTGTTAAGGACAGGCCAGTCAGAAGCAGTCAAAGTCAGGTTGGTATTCTTCAGCAACCTGCAGGATTGTTAAACATCTACCAGGTAACTGCTAGCCTGTCACTGCTGTGGGCTTAATGCCCGTTAGTCAGATAGGCATTAAAGAGCTGTTTAACATTCAGAAGAGTAATTAGAGCTGTTCAGACCTGGGAGGCTCACATGTGGGTGATTCTGTGCAGGAAGGATGGTACAGAATTTGCCCACGTAATTTGTGCAGCAAGTTTTGCTTCACGTCACAGAATCACAGAATGGCCCGGGTTGGAAGGGACCTCAAGGATCATGAATCTCCAACGCCCCACCATGGGCAGGGCCACCAACCTCCCATTTAATACCAGACCAGGCTGCCCAGGGCCCCCACTAACCTGGCCTTGAACACCTCCAGGGACAGGGCATCCAAAAATGTCTTAAAACGTCAAAGTAATAGTTAATTCAAACCTAGGCATTAAAGATTCCCAGCACATGAAACACTTATCTTGTACCCACACCCCTCATCTGCAAAGATGAACTGCCAGCAAGCTTTTTCCAATCGTCAAAAATTTATTTGGATTCTCGATCAAGAAAGAATTTTGCTTTATAAAAGCAGGTAACAACAGAATCAGAGACTTATTTAACAACTAATTAATTGGCACAGCTGCTGCTTTAAGTTGGTTTGTCATTTCTCTCCCTTGTGGAGAAAAGGTATCTTCCCTCTTCTATCCCTGCTTACATTTCAACTCTTATTTCTATAAAGAGTCAGAGGTTTTAATTTAGAACCGTTGGTGGGAATGAAGGACGTCATTCAGAGGTGCTTAGGAGCAGACCTCCACGAGCAGCTCGAACCTTGAGCCCCTTTCATCGTTACTTTCTCCCCTTTGAGGGAGTCACAGAGCGGCGTCCAGCTGCCCGCAGTGCAGCACCGCCCTGAACGCCCAGCCGCTGTCCTCAGAGATCTCTGAAGCGCAGCGCAGCTCTTTCAGCTCTCAGGAGAGTACAGTTTGACGAGGTGCTGGAGCTCCGTGGCGTAGCCAGTGACTGGGCAGCGCTGGTGAGTCTTCACATAATTATACACACAACGGTAGCAAAACACAAAGCCGGACGTGGACAGCGCTGTGGCGTTGACTCGGGCTTTGCGGCACAGAGGGCACACTGTCTTCAGTTTGGGTAAGAGAGCTGAGCCCACCCCCTGGTCGAGATGCACAGGGGGTGGAGGAGTAGGGAGCGCTGTCAGAGATTTGATAGTTTCTTGGTTTTCAGAGGAGTACCACCAGTCCAGGAACTGCAGGAAGAACACGCATACAGACAGGCCGGTGGACAGCGAGAAGGCGATGCCACCCAAAGCCTTCCTCACTGCTGACTGCACTTGTGTTTTAATGCTGCAGGAGGGAGAGAAGAAACGGAGAAGTAATTAGCACTGTGCATTAGTGCATCTGCAAACTAACAGAGCTGGGGAGAAAAGCACTGCTTTATGCAGCTTAACACTAAGCGGTGACATCAGGGCGTCTGGTGTTGGTAACAAAGTATCTGCTAGGATGTTTTTCTCAGATCTTTGTACACTAAGAAAGCTTCAGGTCCTGCGCCAACTAAATTAGAAGAGTTTGGATTGAAGGGGCTGGGACCACAGATCGTTTCACTCACGGATCACTGTTTTACAGAACATCAAGCATCCATTTGTCTTAGTTGCAGCTCACAGAAATCTAGTAGCTCAGTTTCCATCCTTTTAGCAGAATTGCTGCAGTCAACTTTCCTTGTTAGAAACATGTAGGTAACAACAGAACAGGATGGAGGTTGGAATGTAAAAAAAAAACAAAACAATTTCATTACCACTAAGTCCTGTGAAGCTAATCCCTGCTACCTGTTTCCATATTTTCACTACTTATATTCCTTCTGGAGCATGTTTTGAGAGAAGGAAGCTTAATCTTGAAGGTCAGTAACACTCTGGAATGCAACTGCTGACATACCTGTGTGTTTGACTCGAGGCTGCTACAGGCAGTTTCTTCTCCAGGGCCTGGATATCCTCTGCAGTCAGTCTCACCAGGCGAACGCCAGCCAGTCGCAGCAAGGGGGAATGATGCTGAGCCTTCCCGAGGATGTAGCACAACTGCTGGATCAGAAACCAGCCCTCCCAGGCCATGTTTACAAAGGGGTAGGCGGCTAGAAAGGCTCGGTAAAAACGCTTCCAGGAGGATGATGGAGGATGGATGGAGTACTCATCCTCTTCCCTAAGGCTGGACACAAGCTTCTCTAGCTTTCCTTTTAGGTAAGGAACGAGAATCAGCAACAGGAGAGACTTCCAGTGCTGCTGCTTCGGCAGGCCAGCAGTGGCCAAAGGTTGCTGTTTGCAATCTCCTGTCGGTATCCTCTTTAAGCTATAAAAGTTCTCAGAAAAGGAGGCACTGCACCTGGCCAGGTAGTGCTGCTGGAGCAGAAAATCCAGAAGGACGTAGATCTCATCGAACCTGCGCCAGAGGAGGCCGTACCGGCCTGGATTAGACTCAGCAAGCACCTGCAATGAAAGAGACACAGCAGGGATGGATCTGGTTGTGCTGTGAGTTACGCCAAACTGCTCTGGTAGCTTATGAGAATCACAGAATCACTAAGGTTGTAAGAGGCATTTCAGGTCCCCAAGTCCAACCCCAGCCCACCGTGCCCACTGACCACAGCCCGCAGTGCCACATCTCCCTGGTTCTGGAACACCTGCAGGGTCGGACTCCCCCAAGGGTGGGCAGCTGTGCTGAGAGGCAGCGGAGGTGAGGCCCGGTGGGTTTCCTGCCCTGAGCTCCCTCCTTCAAGCCCTTACCTTGACCAGGTGCAGCAGGGCGGGCTTCACGGCCGCCATCAGGCTGTCCTGAGCCACCGCCTCGAAGATGGAGGGCCGGTCATCACCGGCCGCCTCGGCCGTCAGGTGGGCGCCCAGCTCCGCCATGCCGCTCGCCCCGCTCCGCCGCAAGGGGGAGCTGCGACTCCTACTCCGTTGCGGAAGCCGAGCGGGCGGCGCTCCGCCTCCTTCCCTCGCCCTTCTATGGTGGAGGGGCGCGGCCGCTCTAGGCGGGGGGAGTTTTCTTCTCGCTCCTCGCGAGTCCTCCTGGCTGCTCCCTTCGCTTCCGGTTCCGGTTCTGCCACCGCCCCCGCCCCTGCCCCGCAGCGGTGTCTCCGTCCGTTCGTCCGTCCCAGCGTGAGTGGTGCCGGGACGTGGGGAGAGGCTGG